CAAAGCCTGGAAAATGGAAATAGAATTATCAACTGAAAAAAAAAAAAAAAAAAAAATTAAAATAATTAAGGATGCTGCATTTTGTGAAGTCATTACATGCCCGTACTAAACCCGAGCAGCGAGTTCGCATTAACTCCCCGTAAGCAGCAAGAGCCTGGGGGAAAGTCTCCCACTGCGGGCAGAGCCCACCCTCTCACCCAGCACCTCCGTGCAGGCTTTTTGGTGGGTCCCGTCCGTCTCGCTCACCGCCACTTGCTTTGCTCCGCAACGCGAGACGGCCCATTTTATGCACTACATCTGCCTGGTGCCCTGAGCTGTCACTGTGCACCATTATTCTTTGTCAGAGTGATTTCCAATACGCGAATAAAAATCACATTGTTGGAACGGTGTTCCTCTGCCGGGGGTCTTTTGATGGGAGGATTTGGTGGGGAGTATTTAAATGCTGTAAGTATTCTTAAAAAAAAGAAAAAAGCCAGCCCGACAACAAAACACAACAAGAATAATAGTGAGAGCAACAACATATAGAAACAGATGGGAAAAATCCTCCAGGTTTTATTTATTTGTTTGCAGCAAGCAGACATGCAGATTAATTTCCTCGATTCCTGTGTCTCGACCAAATGGGAAGAGGCGACGCGCCGGCTGGCAGAGCTGAGCATCCCTCATCCCGCCCCTTTCCCCCGTGGTCCCAGGTACTCACGGCAGCTTTGCCGCGCCAGGAAGAAGGGTGCAACCAGAGAAACAAAGGTCAGGAAATCAAAATCAGCCCAGGGAAATGAACTGCTGCCACACTGCTGCTTTTAATCTCTCCACGCCCGCTCCAGCAATCGTAAGCAGGAAACGAGATTCCTATTAATCTTCCCACCCCTCCCTTTGCCGGCTGCGCCGGGATGGGAAGCTGGAGAAGCGTGACCGGGAACTCCCCACCCTGTCACGAGTGATAACTGCTCCCCGCTCCCAAAATCCCCTCCGGAGCTGCCGACCCGGCCGGGCTCCCGGAGAGGTTAGCAGGCCCACGGAGGCACAGAGAGCAAGGCGAACCCTGCAAGATATGGAGTGAAAAGGTGCTTGGGGAGCTTGCAAAGCTTCTGCACCCCTAACGGGTCCCAGGATGCTGCTGGGGCACTGCTGGGGGGCTTCACAGCCTGCAGCACCCATGCTTTGGGAGTGGGCTGGCACCGTGCATTCCCATTCGCTCACAGTGCCCTCGGAGAGGAGACGTTTTGGCCCCAGCCCCTGCGGGGAACACAAAAGCGCGGTGGCCTTCACGCCACCACAGCGTGTCACTTTCTACAGTTTCAGCTCCTTTCTGTTTGGCAGAAGCCAGCTAGAAATGACCCATCCCAGCTGCAGCTCCTCCTCGGCCCCGGACGCGTCTGTGGGCTCGTGCTCCAGACCTCCAGCGAGTTTCTGCTCCCACCGGGGCCAAGCCTTCCTTCCCTGGCAGACAGCCCCGCGCCTCGTTAAGCGGTCATTAATCCTCGCTGCGGCCCTTCAAATAAACAGGCAGACGTCTCCGCACATAAATCGATGCGAAGGTGGAAGCGAAAGGCTGTGCAAACACCTCCCAGTCCCCTCTCCCGGGGGGCCTGCGCAGGCAGGGATGCTCTGAGAGCCCCTGAAACCCTCGGTATTCCTACCTGCAGCGTCCTCATGCCATGCAGGGGAAACTGAGGCAAGGGAGCCTCTGCCCACGGCCACACAGGGAGTGTGGCCGGGCTGGGACCCAGGCCCGGCTCACCCACCCGCCGCCGTAAACAAGGACACGCTTCTTTACTGGGCTGCCCCACCGGAATCACCGCACCACAGAATGGTCGGGGATGGAAGGGACCTCTGTGGGTCATATAGTCCAACCCCCTGCTGAAGCAGGGTCACCTACAGCAGGCTGCACAGGACCTTGTCCAGGCAGGTCTTGAATATCTCCAGAGAAGGAGACTCCACAACCTCCCTGGGCAGCCTGGGCCAGTGCTCCGTCACCCTCAGAGGGAAGAAGTTCTTCCTCATGTTCAGACGGAACTTCCTGTGCCTCAGTTTGTGCCCATTGCCCCTTGTCCTGTCACTGGGCACCACTGAAAAGAGCTTGCCTCCATCCTCCTGACACCCACCCTGCAGATATTTATAAGCATAAAGGAAAGGCCCTTCTTGCCAGGGTTTACTCAGAAAGGATTCTCACTCCATCATCTCCCTTCCTGCTCCACACACTTCCAGCTTCCTTCCCCGAGCAGCTTTTCTTTTTCCAGTGGGGCGATGACAGAGGAATGTACTTTTGATAAAGTACAGCCACGGTGCGGGTCAGTAGAACAAGAGGACCGGCTCCGCTCCAAGGCAGCATCCACTGGGATCCCCCCCAAAATCTCACCCCTTCATCTCCTGTTCTCTTCCTCCCCAAAGGTTCCACATTTCGGAAAGGAAGCAGGAAGGCAGAGCAGCAATGCCAGCACGGCACGCAGCAGCTCCCGAAGCGGGAGGCTTCAAAATCACTAAACAAACAGAGCAATAAATGAATAAATTGAAGAGAACCGCAGAGAAGCTTTCACTGCGGAGGTTTCCCGGGTCCTAAGGGGACTGTGTGGCCTGTGGCCAGGGTGGCTGCGCTCGCAAAGTTTCCACCGCAGATGCTTCCGTTTCAACAACTTCAAATAAACATAAAGCAATCTGCAAACTAGGGGAAAAAAAGGGCTGAGAGCCATGGCTAAAAAGCCTGACCTACAGACCATCTCCTGCCCCAGCTCCCAAGGACACTGCCACACACGAGAAGATCCGTAACCTGGAAAAATTGTTTATTTGTTCGTTTTAATAAAATAAAATGGTTAAGTCCTCCCTTTCAGCGCAAC